CTACTATCCCCCCTGCCCGAACCCCCAGTCTAGTTGTCGCTATCGGACTACGGCTGCTCGGTTACCGCCGTGGAGCTATTGCCACCACTGAACTACTGTTGCTCGACCACAACCGCCATATCACCGTTGCCTAACTATCACTGTCATGTCGGCACCACTGTCGGACCACAGTTGCTCCGCTACCACCTTCTGATCATCACCTGCTAAAATCAATGTCACTTCCGTCAGTCCACTACTGCCTGACTACCACTGTCAAACTGTCATTACCGCTAGACTACTATTGTCTGACCGTCATCATCTCACCACCACTACTGCCAAATCATCATTGCCCAACCACCGATTACCGTCACCATCACTACACCACCATTGTGTTGTATAATTCATATTTTTTTATGTATGTTCATATCTAATACATTATTTTCTCACATAGGCCTCAAATATTTAAAGCCTAATGAAATAATTTATAAATATTATATTGTTAAATCTTCGTTTTTTTATAGTTTATATTATAATAATGATGCTAAAAATATATTAATTTCAATAAAATAAAAAAAAATGATTTTTTTATAAGAAAATGAGACATCGAAATTATTTTCACGATAGAATAAAAAAAAAAAAAAAGAAAATGCAGACAAAACAGTCCATTCCAGTATAATTGAACGGCTCTAATCAAATACACCCCGACAAATACAAATGGACGGTCATCAATCCTCCGTCATCACCGAATCCCTTGTTGAAGGGGGAAAAAATATTACCTCAGGAGTACTGATGCATCGGTACTCCAATGAGGGAGTGCCACGTAGCCAATGGTCCCAAGTACGGATGCATCAGTAATATTTTTTCTTGAAGGGCCCGAGCTCTCCGAAGCATCCAGGCGCTAGAAAGCCACCAAAACCCTAGGAGAATCCCCAAATCTCCCGTATTTGATCGGCGCCACTCATCTCTCCGATCTCCGGCGAGGTTTCCGTTCGCTTATTCCGCCAGGATGGAAGGGAGTCCGACTTCTTCCGACTCCAATGCTGCGATCTCGGCCGCTGCGGCGGGTGGGAGGAGGGAAAGGGTTGGAGAGGTTGATTGCTTCGAGCTGTCTTCTTCCAGCGTCCTCAAGCTCCTCAAAGGGGACATCACTTCGTGGTTCGTGGATGGGAAGACAGATGCTATTGTGAGTTTGTAATTATTGATTGATTTCTTAGTTTTGTTCGATTATAATGTATTCTTCTTAATCTTTCAATCCGAGCAAGAAGGACCTCTTTGTTTTTGTATAATTATGCTTTTAAAATGTAAAAATGAGAATGGGGATCTCAGGGAAGCTGCTTGATTGTTCAAAGGAGGATATTCTCATAGGAGGATATTCTCATGTTTCCGAAGGAAGATGTACATATATACCACTCAATTCATGTGTTTACATATCTAACACTTAAATATTTACATATATGCTACCTTATCTAATGCATGAAAAGGTGTATTTCACTTTTTAAGAGTTAAAATAATGGTTTTTCTTATGTGATATGAAAGATTTGGGCGGTGTAAATGTTAATTGTAGAGTTTTGTTGTTAGATATGTAAATTAATCAATGAAAATGGGTTCATTTGATAACCTTTTATATATATGAAAAGATTGGATGAGATTCAAATACTTCTTCTCAAGTTGATGTTTTGTGAAGATGTAAGAAAAAGGTTACATGGTGAGGTCCTTAAAATTGCATGAGATGTAATCTCAATTGTTATATGTTGTAGCAATTGAATTCCATTTTGAATTTTTGTAAATTTTGTTTCTTCGTCCGAATCGGAAAAAAATGTGATCTACTATTGTTTGTTAGCTTTTTTTGACATGTAGAGTTCAGATCTTGAGGCTTTTGACAAGGGATATTTTGTAAAACCCTCAATTTATCTTTCAAATGAAAGCTTTAAATAGTTTGGTTGCAAAATACTGAAAATGAATCCGACTTCGGTGCTACCATCTATAGTTCTGTATATATTGCATTCTCGCAGGTGAATGCAGCTAACGAGAAAATGCTCGG